AAAGAGGCAGGATAGATCCTTGGAGGCATTAGCACTTTATGTCACTACAGCAAACACTGCAGCCCTTAAACAAAAAACAAGTCATGGTTCTGAAAGGAAGGATCTGAGCTAGAGATCAGTTCCTCAGGACATTCTTATACAGCAGTTTACTTTTACTTACATTGCAGGACTCTTCTTCAGATAATCCTGGAAAACTTAGTCTTGCTTTATAGCTTCCAGGGACAGAAGGCAGGAAGGAGAAGCTTTCAGTAGAAAATAAATTGCTGGCCAGTACCCTGAGGGTATCTTGAGAAGTTAGACTTAGAGCTGTTGACTTTCCAGCAGTCAAAACATAGACTGAAGATGTATGCTACTTCACATAGACTGGGATACTAGGAAAGAACGCCTGCCTGACAAAGCTTCTGTCATACAGTAGCCTCCAGTGCAAAAAATCTGGGGAAAGCTGCAGTCAGACACAATGAAAGGATCCTTCATCTTCACTGTCTGTAGAGAAGTGGAAAATTCTAGTACTTGGAAAAGTTTCTGGAGCATTTAAAAATACTCACCTATTGGGTGTTGGTGCATGATCTTCCTTTAATAGGGAATTTGTCTGGGAGGTGGGAGAAAAGTGCCTTGAGATATTGTCTTGATGTTGAGTTAATATCCTTTGAAGCACTAAAAGGATGTATTCCTACTTTTCTTGTGCTATTCTCCATCATACTGAAGACTTCCAATTAAAAAAAAAAAATAGTAAAAATCCTGCCTTTACATGTGCTGGATCTGCTAGTCTCAATTCACTCAGACTATGAAAGGGAGCGAGATCAAAGGCACAGTTTTTAGCTGTCTTGTTAATCCCAGGAGTATTTTATCACATAAATTAGGAAGGGAGAGTGAAGGAAAATCCCTTTGCACTGCTTTGGATTTTGACATTAAACACTCCTCAGTTGTTCTGCTGGCTAGGATCTGCTGTGCTATTGGGAAGTGATTAATGCAGTCATATCATGCAATTAACAGTGACCCATGAAAAAACCAACTACAAAGCATGTATTTAATCCATAAAACTGTATTAGGAGAAAACCCAGAGCAAGCAGAATATCCCATTGTTGTTGTTGTTGTTGTTTTCACTTGCTTTATGGAAATATTTCTTGGTCATGCAAAATGCCTTGTTGGCAAGAGGGTGGTTTTGTGTTTAATGCATGGAACCGTAACCAGGATAACATGGGCTCAGTTACAGGTTTCTGCCAGAGTCATACTGAGACACTGAGTAAGCGTCAACATTGAAACACTGAGGAGGCAGGAGCACTACCACTATGTAGTCCTTCCAGAAAAGGTGGCTAGACTTACCAGGTAGTAGAAGGGAATGCCTTCTCTGTAGGCATGTTTACATTGCTGATAGCCTCCTCAGTGCTCTTAATTCATTCAGGGTTCTTCTATAATGCTGTAGAGTTTGGTAGCATTTGCTTCCTTTTACCACAGATTGGGTATTAAAGGCTTCCATAGAAACCTTAAAAGAGAAAGCCTATTCTCTGCTGTATAAAGCAGGTGTGATTCAGCTATAAAATGACTTTCATGCTCACTCTACTACAGTTAAGATACAGCATATTAGGAAGCTGATCTGAAGCTCAGAGTGCCTCTTGCGAGATGGAAGTTTCAAGATCTTTTTTATACTCTTAAATGCACTTCCTAGAGGATGCCTGTGTACATGAAAGTGCAAGAGCAGTAGTACTTTCAGAGACTAAACATGAGACAGTGATTACCACTGCAAAGATACATTGGGTGCATCTGAATGGCTTTTTTTCTTTCTTTCCTATCCAATGTACATAGGCCTGCTACAGACTTTTTGTTCCACTCAGGTGCTGCTATAGCTGTTTTCAAAAAAGACATTATTTAACGTGTGGTTTTTGAAGCTTTGAGGTGCTTGTAGTTATTGGCATTTATACAGCTGTCTTTCATTTGAAGGGGCACTTAGGGTATCTGCCCGTTTATTAGTTTGAGGGTGTAGAGTGATCTGTTCAGTCCGTGTGTCCACTTGTAGGCATGTCCTGTCTCCTCAGCGTGCAGAGTAAACAGCTACGAGGAAAAGGAGACAAAGTTGCCAAGTTGGCTTACTTCCAAGTGCATTTGGAGGGGAGCTCATGGTTTGCCTCCTGCCTGGCAGCAGCAAGGATGGGTTGGAAAAATCAGCATCCCAAACCACAGTGGAGAAGTCATCCAGATTTCTGAAGCCACCCATCATGGGAGCTTGCCCTCCTGCCAGCAAGATCGACAGAAGCTGTGGAAGATAATCCAGGGAGAACAGAGTTTAGGGAACTGCAATCATTTTGATTATATTTTTGAGCAGTCACACTATTTGCCCTCATGTGTTTTTCTCCCCCTAATAACTATTGAACATACTGAGCAGTATCTGCCAGCTTCAGCTGAGAGCAGGGTTTTCAAGCATACAAGTTTTCCACTGGTTTTAGAAAATCAGTAGCTGGTTATTGAAAAGAGGCATGAATTACTGAAGGAAAAGGTGCACTAGGACTTCAGCAGGCATCTACACATTTGGGCTTGCTATCACCTGGTTGTCATACACGTATCATCGTCATGTAGTCGTGGCCAGACAGTAGATGTGTACAGCTTAGCTGTTCAAGGGACTCAAAGGCCAGGCAGTGTGCATGTAGCTCAGAGTCTTGTCCAGAGGGGAGCAAAGGGACAAATGCAGAAGCGTAAGATACTGGCTCAAGAAGAGTAGAGCCAGAGGCAGTGCAAAGGAAGGAGGTCCTAGCAGAAGAGCTTGAGGTTATGACACTGGAACAAAGAACATAAATCCAGGCCATGCCAGTGCTACTACTTTTTTCTTCTTACTATCATTCAGCTGTCTTGGGATCAGTCTTAATTACAGTTAAATTGTTTTGTTAAGTTGCAGCATCAGGATTCAGTAAAAAAACGGTAAGACAATCTGAGGATCTCCCTCCATGCCCCCCTTCCCTTTCTGCACATGCATCCTGCACAGGACTGCATTCTCCTTGGCATCACGCTGCTTGCAATGTTTGTGAGACATGGCAGGAGAAAGGCCACTGTGCTGAGCAGCAGCCAGGACTGCCTCCATGGGGAGCCCCACACCTGAAAGGGTGTCTTTTGTCTCAGCAACACCCTACATTGTTCCTTTTCATCTTTTATTGTCCTGTTGTCTATGAATGCCTTGTATTCCTTCTTCCCCTCTTTCTCTCCCCCACCATGATGAATGTCTGCTGTACTGATTTGTGGAGGCTCACACGTGTCTGCGTCTACATCAATAGACTCCAGAGTACCTGAGAATGTTCCTGAGCAGTGGGACACTGTCATCTGCCCTGTAAATAAGATCTTAGCCTCTTCCCTGGTGTGCACTCAGCCCGTACCAGACTGCCAGCTGGAATCCCCCAAACAACTCTCAGGCATGGCCAGGGGATTAGAAACTTCCGAAGACAGACTTTTCCACATGATTCCATTTGCCTGCAGCTGTCCCATTTCAAAGGCTGATAGACATTACTAGCACAGGCCACACACTGTTGCCAGATGCCTTTGATGGCTCAAAACATTTCTGAGCACAGCTAGTTTGCTATCCTGGACTTATGTCAGAACTTAGGTGAGCTTGGAAATGTGTGTGCCCAACCTCATACATGCTATTTAAGACTCTGTTTCAGGAAGAGGAAGGCATCAAGCCTTTGAAAAAGATCAGCCCTGTTCCAGCCCTATTCCCTAAATTTGTACAAGCTATTGTACCTAGTGTACAAGCCAGTACCTGTCCCACCCCTGAAAACCTGGGCAAACTAGTGTAACTCCACTGATTCTCAGTGCTGCAGAGTGAACTGGTGTTATTTTTCCCTTTGCAGTTCGAACATGTCCCAAACTTCGGGCTCCTGAAAACGGACACATTAATTGTTCAACGGCTGATATCTCCTATAAGACAGTATGTTTTGTGACCTGCAATGATGGCTATGAAATAGAAGGAAACAACAAACTCACCTGCCAGGGGACCTCACAGTGGGATTCAAAGGAGCCGAAGTGTGTGGGTAGGTATCTGATCACACTCTGTCTGCTCATGCTACAGCGCAGCCTTTTCTGACATGCTGTCATGAGTGAGAAACTCTCCCTGTTTTAATATCTGGTGAAGCTAAGACAGGAACGAGGATTTGTCTATGGATGTTTTATACAGGTCTTAGGAGTTGGGGAGGGGCAAAGGAATTTGTAAATGGAGAAAGTGGACAGACTATCACTGAAATCCAGCACAGACAGCTGATAACTAAAAGGTTGTTGCATCTGGTGAGTGTTAAGACACTGTCAAACAATGTGTTGTAGGAAACATGCAAGTTGTAGGTCTATACTATGGATTAAATGTGAACAACCAGGGGTTTGAGTTACCATCTTAAAGCTAAAGATGACCTGCAGACAAGGACTAAGGTATGTTAGCCAGGCACTGTGAGCGCTGAGTAAAGATGTGGCAGTTGTCACTTTTGCTGAACAGCTAGCAGGAAATAAAAGTTTAGGCAAGTTAGGGACCAGGAACCTCCAAAGCAGGATTCAGAGGTCTCACCGGCTGTGCAGGGATAGGTAAACATATATTGCTGTTCCAGAAATAAAGGGTTGTAGATTTCAGAAGTACCCATTTAGGACTACTGACAGGTATTAAATTAACTTAGAAAAGTAAGAAGAAGAAATACAGTTGAAACACTTCCAAGGGTAGACAGCAAAAAAAAAAAAAAAAAGCACAAGCTTAAAGTCCAGCAATTCAGAAGCTGATCCAGTGCTGATTAAACTCAGGGTGAAGTACATGTCACCTGGGTCCAGTTAAGTGTGATGCCAGTAGGGTGACTTGGCTTGAACCTGTGGCTGTTTTTTACTGTTTTACTGCAGGCTTAAAGATGTGGACTTTGCATGAGACAAGAATAAATTTCTAACTGTAGATATGTTCTCTAAAATGATGAAAAGAATCCACAAGTATTAATTATGAAGAGAGTTTTTTAAGAGATTCTAATCTTTCTTCTGTTGAAGTCAGTGGAAAAACTTCAATTAACTTCAAAAGGAAGGGACCCTGAAATCCTGTTGGAAGATTATAATTGGAAGATTAACTGTATTCATCAGTGGAATTCATCCTTCCTAGCTTAGCACTTTGATTATCAAAATCCAGCTCTACTCTATGTCAGAAGATTTCTTCACCCTATGCAATATTGCCTCCATTCCTGGATTACACATGGCAATAGCTTATTTTCGCCGAGTCTGAAAATCTAGTATAAAAGTGACCTTTGATTGTCACAGAGGGAAGAGTGTTAGCTGGAAAACATCTCTGCTGCTTCTTCTTGTGGCTGGTGTTTAGAACAAGGTTGCTGAGATTCTTGTTCAATATAGATGTCTGGAGTTTTATTCAGGGAAGGATGCAAATCAGAAGACTTATATGTGTCCTCCTCAAAAACTACCCTTTGTACTCATTTTCTGAATGTTTATCATTATCATGGAGGTATTTTCTGTTTATTTTTAGTCTGAACAGCTCCTAACTATTCTTTATCATCTGCGACATAAAAGATACCAGAAACCCTGCTGTATTTAGGCATTTGTAATTGATGATTTATTCATTTCCTACCCTTCTGTTAGAAAAATGAAGTGGAATTGGGTTCAGTCTCTTACCCTGAAACAGATCTCTTGGACTTCGGGGTACTCTCCTACCTCTTCTTCTGAATGCTTTTCAGTTTGAGTGCACATCAGTGCAAAGTTTACCGTATTTAAAAGTTAGCTCACTGATGCTGTACTACAACCATCTGTAACCATAACTGACACTGTACCATAACATAGCCTGGATTGTTTACAGTCACTTCTGTGAGGTCTGTTGTCATATGCATGTTTTTCCAAGAGACTGCAAGTTAATGCAAGGATGGCTATTACATATGTTACAAATTTTTATATTTTTCATGAAAGATGCTGTTAGCAATGAGTTACTTTTTGAGTAGGTTACATATATTATAGGTGGCTTACAAAGTATCTGCTGAAAAGGGAAGCTTTGTCATTTGTCCAATCTGGAAAAAAAATTTCCACAGTCATGTTCTTGTGTTTCCTTCCCCATTGGCAAAAGATTAATATCCAACATGTTAAAATTAATGACTTTTGCAAGATACTGTTCTCCTTGCTTTGTTGAAGGTTTGGTGAAAAAGATAAAAACACAGATGGTGTCCAGGGTGCTGATGCCACCTAGTGTTGAAAGAATTGGTACTCCACACTTCTAATTGCAGTTGGCCAATTCTTTCCCTGAAACATTGTGTTTACAAAGGGCTTGAAGGAAGGAGGCATGATTTGCTTGGTAATCTTTTCTTTTGTTAGAATGTTGAAGTTTCTCTTGATGTTAAGAATTATAATACAGTGTTGTTGTTCATCACAGGCAGTTGCAGATGAAAGCAGATTCCTGTCTCTCCTTAGAAGTACATTTTTCCTCTCTCTCTATTGATTCCCTATCCATATGACTAATATCACTCTGTTCCTCATGAAGTTCAGACTTCCTGGGTCATTGTTGGTCAAATCCTGGAACTGAGCACAGATAAAAAGAGCTAAACCACACTATTACATTTTTTTTCCTAATAAAAACCTGTCCCACTTAGGAAAGATTCCCTCAGGCTAGATATACCAAAGGTTATCCTGAATGTTTGTCAGATGTTTCAGGATTGTGCTCTGCGACAATTTTGCTAGTATAGTTGGAAGAATCTCAACCAGGAGGGCTGTTACTGCTTCCTGAAGAGCTGCAGTTTTCTCTGGTTGTCATGCTTACACCTTTCACAACCTTTCTTCTACTTGTTCCCTGAGTAGTATACATTTGAATGCTTTTAGCTCGTCTTTTCAAACATTATTTTTTCCAATTTCTGATCTTTCTGCTGTTTGTCAGTTACTTTCCTGTGGTGAGCAACCGAAAGTTAAGGTTTGGGTTTTTTTTTTTTTTCCCCTAATGGAGTCATTTTACATTGCATAGCTAACAGTGTCTGCCTGCAGACAAAAACAGGTAAAAACAACAGCTTTTTCTGGTAAAAACAACAGCTCAAAAATTAAACAAAGCTTTTGTGAAAATAGAACGTGTTTACGCACATTGTGGTTTTTGGAATTTTACACCATGATGCAAATAGTCTTCAGAATTTACAGTAAATTCTAGTAATAAGATAGTTCAAAACTTCCATTTTAAGCCGTTAAGCAACGATCAGCCCTTCCTGACTTTACAGAGGTCAGCTGCCACTTATGGTCACCCTGAGTCTTTGCATCTGGGTTTGAATACAGTCAAGACCAAGCCTGGTTTCATTCAGTTTGAAATGCAGTAGGCAAAATCACATGCCGTGTCCCTAACCTAAGGTGAGCTCACGGCAGGGTGTCCTTTTTCTTCCCTCATTCTTATTTCAAGATACCATGTAAAAGCTGTAGAAGGCAACAGATACAAGTCTTCTACCTCTCTCCTGCTATGAAGGTCTAGATTCCATAGAAGGCAAGGGAGTGCAGCTACAAAACAATCATGAAAGGTGAAGTTGTAAAGAAAAAAAAAAAACAGAGAGAGAGAGTAGGATGTAGTGGAGCACATGAAAAATACGATGTTTCTGTCCCAGTGAAAAGCATGAACAGGAAAATGGAAGACCTGATATCCTGGGTGCTGTTTACTTCAGTCAGCACTGGAGTACAAAGCTTCAGCAGGTCTTACTGTTTCAATGCACTCATAGCACATGCAGACTCTTAAAAAATCTGTGTATTTTGTATTCCCTCTGAGTTGCCATATGAATTTATTTGCAGATTTTTTTTAATGTGTACTTCACCTATGTCAGTTAAAAGACATGTACTACTGGTCTCTTGTAGAAATGCGTTGCCCTATCCTCCAGAAACCAGCAGGTGTAACAGTTCTCCCTCCCAGATGTGGGCTGGAGCCTGCCGTTTCTGGCACTGTGTGCCAGCTGAGCTGTCCCCAAGGATTCATCTTGTCTGGAGCTAGAGAAGAACTAAGGTGCATTTCATTTGGGAGATGGAGTGCAAACATCCAGGAGGCTCTGTGTAAAGGTAGAGACCAGCACAAATTCATTTCTGTGTATACATGTGTGCAGGATTGAAGGGAAGCACACACCAAATAACTGAGTGAGGACAGGTTTGAACTGGGGAAAGCATGATTTAAACAGTCTGTAAGAAGTGTTGCTTGTACCATTATAGCTTGGCTGTCAGGTTTACTTGTGGTTTGTAATAAAAATGTGGAGTTCAGAGGTTGCTTGAGTGCCATCTTATAGTGCTCATCATCAGCTGTCTCTCCTAGGATCCATCTCATAAGTCTGTTTTGGGAAGCTGCCTGCTAAAAGGCCTGATATGCGGGTAAATTCAAAATTTCAAAGTAGAAGTGAAAGCTCTTAGCTTAAAGATAGTCAAAGTGGAACACACGCTCCTAGTAAAACAACGATAATACTACTATTACCGTGTTTATGTAAGCCCTGTAGTTGGAGCAAATCTGTAAATGCTGTGTAAACCCTGACCGATAGACAGACTATAGAGGGATGGTTCATTCCAGTTGTCTTTGAACTGACTATGGCTGTTGACATGCCCCGAGCAACAGCGCACAACAGTTAAGGCCAAAATTGGCTGACACAAGTGCACAGAGTACAAAGATGGGCAGAAGATGGTTACGTGCATTTGAGTATGGTTCTGCCATGTTTACCCACCTCTTCTAGAAATGTTAGGTTATTTATTCCCTCACACACATGCACACTGAGTTGGAAGGATTTTGGCTTTGGATTATAGGAGGATACAAGCAAAAGTGCAGTTTGTCTGGGAATATGCAATTCACCTCTTCATGAACTATTGTGCTCCTAGAACTAATGCTTCCACCCCAAACTGGGGCCCTCGCCAGCCACTGGGTGAAAGAACAGTGCAGAAAACAGTTATGGCAGTCATCATGCCAGGTCACTACAGAAACTGAGGTGGGAACTTTTTTCTCTGTAATGGCCAGGGAGATTTTATCCCTCTCTTTAAATGTATTATTTCCCACTCTGTGATGTACCAGATTGTTTTTCTGAATCATTTGTGTAAACCTGTGCCAAACCACAGTTTTTAATATTTGATGGGATCCCAGCACAAGGCTAGAAGCTGAAGTGTTTGGATCAAGATAAAGCAGTGTGGCTTGGGTTCAAGCTTTTAGATATTACCAATGCATAAAACCCTAAAATAAGAGGCACCAAGAAACTCTGAAGGTTATTCTTCTCTAGTGAAAATGAACAGTTGCATTTCAATTGCTTTCATTCTTGTTATTGTCTTTCTCTACTTTGCTGCCAACAAATATGGCCAGTTCAAAATAGCCATTTTCTTTCCGACTTATTTATTAGTCTTCTCACATAATTTCACTTTTAAATGGAATTTGCCCCAGCCTGAAGGCTGTGGTCAGGGGAGCATGAACCATAACTGGTAGTTATTTGAAAGAGTGCATTTCTAATAAAATTTTCGTCAGAATGAGTTCAGAGGAAGACAAAATCACTTATATTTATTGCTTTGCACTCTTAATTGCAGTGGTTTAATTGCCTGAGTTATGTCTTTACTGGAACTATTTAGTAATAAAAATGTAAGTGATATCAGTTCTGAGCTGTTTTAAAGCCTCCTGGGCATAGATGAGTTCAGAGCTGAATGCATCCTTGTCTCATGAGTCTAGAGACCATTTATCAAACAACACTGCAGCAATAAAATAACCTGACCACAAATGTTTTGGGAGGCCCTGTGCCAGGGAAATGAAGAAGTACTTTAAGTTTGTCAGAGAAACTTGAGGCTTAAATGTTGGTGGTGATGTTACCCATATTGTACTACCAGTCCTTTGAAACCATCCAGCATTGCCACATATGTCACAAGAAAACTCCATTTGTCCTACATAATACTTTGTAGCAGGAGTTCATTAAGGAACATTTCCAGCAGCTGATGCCAGAAATCTTGCCATTGTTTCTTTTAAGTTGGTTCCACACCATGCTGCAGGGAATTTGCAAGTCACTACTGTCTTGTTTGTAGTACCTATAGTATGTCACAAGTACTTTTGTTTTTCAAGTCACTGATTATCAGAAAAAAGTGTTACCATGTGTATTAGAGAAGCCATTCCTTCTTAATGAGTATATGTGTCTAATGAATGGATGAATAATAAGAAAAATAAATTCATTCTGTCTTCTTTCTTCCTTGTTTTATGGTTGCATGTAGAAACCAGAGTCTCATTGCGCTCAGTGATGTACAAAAATACAGCAAAAAAATAGTCCCTTCCCCAGGAGAATTTACTCTGTGTGTATGTATAAGCCTGTAGGCAACAATTAAAAAAGGGCAGAGACAGGAAGTTTGAAAAAAATATGTGCATTTATATTGTAGGCAGCACTAGAAACAGTGATTATAACAAGTTGCAGTCTAACCATTATAGAGTTTTTATTTCTATAATGCCACATATAAAACTACTTTGTCTTTTTCTGGATCAGATATTGAAGCTCCTCGGATCCAGTGTCCAGAAAATATTGAGACTGAGACTCTGGAACACCATGACTCTGCTAATATCAGCTGGCAGGTACCAACAGCTGAAGACAATTCTGGAGATGAGGCAAGTTAAAATCTATACTTTTGACTGGAGGCAGTCTTTCTATGCTGCTATTTCAAATTAATTTTAAGATCCACTAGAATTTCTTTCTTCTGATAAGCAGGAGTAGAAGAAAAATCTGCTGAAAAGTTTGTATCTTGAGAATTCAGCATTTTCTGTCTTGGTTAGGGTTATGCAGTCGGAGGACACTCTGCATGGTGTTTAAGTGCATAAAAATCTCATATGGTTGATTTATGTGGTCAAAAGAAAGAATGTGCCCTTGTTTATAAGATGGAGACAGCTGCTTTAAAAATGAGCTCTTAGAATGTGAAGATGTTTAATAAACTCTTCTCAGAAGGAAGTAAACCAGTTCATTAATCTAAAAGGCCAGCAAGAGCGTACTGTGATAAGTAAAAACTCGTTTCAGCTTCCCAAGCAAGAAACAAAAATCTCATTTTCCTATCCGATGCAAGGTTCAGACATGGGCCTTTGGCTACTATGGGTATCAGAGGTCTGGAAATGCAGTTACAAGGAAAACTTGCTCCAGAGCTGTTTCATAAAGAGTAACATTCCCTACAGGCTCAGACACGATCGAGTTACAGCAACTGAATGCTTTATCATGAGTCAGCAGAAGAACAGTGACTCTGTGTGCGCTTTTAATTTGCTGCAAACACAGGAGTTTTTGCACTTGGAAACTGTGAGCTATCCCAGTAAAAGAGGTTTAAGTTCACACATTTTTTGCTGTAGCATAGCCGTGGTCAGGTACTGTAGCTCTGCTGACACAGGGTCATCCATTGAACTGTAGAAACCAAGTGCCTTAGCTGTTAGTTGTGGCTGGTTTGTCAAAGCCACAGTTGTCAGATAAACTTTGTTCACATGAAACCAGTTCTTTTAAAGAGAAGTTCTTTAAGACAGTTCTAACCCATATGAAAGAACCATAGACGGAATATGTGTCATTTACTCCAAATGTAGGGTTCCTTTGCTGTGCCAGAATGTTTTGAAGTGTCTGTGGGCTATTGACTCATAAACATATATAGATTAAAACTGGATATGTAAGTACTTATAGCCCACAACTGTCTGCTCCACTCATCTCCCAGGTCTGCTGCCCTTGCAGCTGGAGAGCTGAACTGCAGACACAGCAGGTTCTGAGCTGGCATAGTGTGTGTTCAGTGCAATGAGGCAAACGAGTCAGTCCTGAGTTTTCTTAATGCACAGTGCTGTAAACTGCAGCAGGTCAGGGTCCAAATCCTGACTGAGTAAATCCCTGTTGCTATCAAGAAGGCAGTCATGAGAAGGGGAACAGAACACTCTGTTGCAAAGTCCACCCTCATTACTTGAGGAGGCTATTTGCGTTAAGAACGAGTAGGCTTGACATTGAAGGATATGATTTTGTGGCCATTTCTTGAAACATGAGTGTCATGATTACTAACCAGCTTTGTTTTTTAAATAACAACTGTTTTCCTATAAAAGGTCTCAGTTCACGTTACCCCAGCTTTCATACCACCATTTCTTCTCCCAATTGGCGAAGTTGCCATTACTTACACAGCGGCTGATAAGTCGGGTAATGAGGCAAGCTGTACGTTCAGTGTCAAGGTTATTGGTAAGTGCTGGTGAAAATCACTGGGGAAGTGTCTGTCATGGCTGAAACCTAATTTTGTGCAGAAAGAGACTGTGACTCACTGTGGGCTTTATGTGTGCAGGTATAAGCCCAGGAGTAATATCATCTCCATAAATACTTTGCTGATCTTGGGTCACAGTTTGCATAGTGTGCAGTCATTGCTCCCAGATGATCAGTCTGGGTTGTGTTTTGTTCTGTTATTCATCCTGAATGTTAAGATTTCTCCTCACACTGGTAGATAAAAAGCTTTATTGTGTTGTCACTTATTGCCTTCACCATATATATATTCTTTTTAACTCTTGAAAGACTCCCAACAAAATTTCCAAGGTTCCCACACATTGCTGATGCAAATCATTTTTCAAGTATTTGTCAGACAGTTGTGTTACTCAGCATTCCTGTTAAATAAGTTTTGCTCTGTAGAAAGCAAACAGAGTGCAGAAACCATGAGTTCAGGGGAAGAATTAGTCTTGTCCATTCCCTCAGCATCTACCAGTTGCAGCAGCTTACAAGTGTGCACTTAACTTTGTCGCATCTTCTGATGTGAACCTAAAAGTGCTGTTTACCTGACTTCTTCTGATTGTAGATTTCATTTGAGTGTGGCAGCAGCTCAGTAAATTAATGTCATGCCATCCCTTCAAATTCTGCAGATGCAGAACCTCCGGTAATTGACAGATGCAGATCTCCACCGCCCATGCAAGCAGTAGATAATGAGTACCCAGCGACATGGGAAGAACCGCAATTTTCAGACAATTCAGGTGAGATAGAGCACCCCAAAATGTGCATGAAACAGTGGAAGCATAGAGAGCTCCAACCTGTGCACCCTTGGAGTTTAGGATTTTTTGAGGGTTTTTTTACTTATTTACTTTTAAGAACACATGATTTGGAAGACGTGCTGCCATTTCCTTCTCCATTTGTCAAGGGTGGGTGTGAGCAACCCTCTTTTACTTACTGATGTTTCAGGTTGTCCTTTAACTCTTCTAGGTGCTCCGCTGACTGTCACTAGGAGTCATGCACCTGGATATCACTTCCCTAAAGGAGACACAACAGTTCAATACACAGCCGTGGATCCCTCTGGCAATAACAGGACATGTGAGATCCACATTGTTATCAAAGGTTTGTTGTCTTAATCTTCTGGTCACGAGTCTATGGCATTGTTTTAACTGACTACCATAAGGGATACAATGCTACTCCACTTTTTCATTTAGTCTACTTTTTCTTTTAGTTATTCCCAGTTTATACTGGAGCAACTTGAAGGCAGTCAGGATATTTGATAGTACCAACGAATAAATTGTATAAGACTGAAGCAGCACAGCAGTGGATTTGGTCCTATAAATTCAAATTAGGTGTAAAAGCACTGAAATTATGATTCATTAAGCAGTAAAACTTATGATAATGGATCCATTTTATTCTCAGTGACAGATACCATGTGAAATGAGTTAATAGGTGTTACTGAAGTCTTACTTCAAATTTGTAGTTAAAAAGGAAAACTTTATGGAAATATTTCTGTAATCACCTACAAATACTGTAGCAGATACTAGAACACTCTTCAGTTTTTAGAAGCTGTCTGCACCTATAGATTTACTGTTGCATTTGTGTTTATTGCATAGACACCTTTTCCCCACAGTTCACTTTCTTCTTTAAAGGCCAAACGATAATTTGGCAGATAAAGTATTAAGGATTAAAATTCTACTTCATCTAGGCTCTCTAGTGCTAATGTCTCAGTTGGACATCTGTATAAAAAAGTCTGTTAGTGAAGAGAGAATTTAAAATCATGCAGACTGGAATTTTGGTTATAGCTTTTAGAAAAGGTAAGTTGCAAATGGATGTGCTGATTTCTGGTTTACTGTAAATCTTAGCAGGAACAAGCCAGTGCTTAGAATTGGCATTATTTCAAGTTCTACACCACCTCAGACTTCAGTGTTTGTGGTTCAGTGTTTGTGACATAATGTTTTCAGTCATTCAAAATCTCCTTCACAATTGGCCTGTAAAATAAAACATAACTGAGGGTTTCCAGTCAGTCCCTCCTCAGATGATTCTGACAAGTCCATGTGTTGTTGCAATAGTGACAAATGGGTAATGTTTCATTTCAGAATTCAAGATGTAATATATTTTACTAGAATTCATTGTATGAAAGTTCATGTAAAAATTTAGATTAATGTTTTGTATTATTTTAGTAAGTACATGCTTGAGCATGCACCTTTTGCAGAAGAAGCATAGAATTGTTTGGGTCTTGAATTTCTGACTTTTTTTATTTTCTCCTATGTATCTGTTGTGGTTTAACCCAGCAGGCAGCTAAACACCACACAGGCGTTCGCTCACTCTCCCTCTCCCCAGTGGGATGGGGGAGAGAATCAGAAAAAAAGAAGTAAAATTTGTGGGTTGAGATAAAAACAGTTTAATAGGACAGAAAAGGAAGGGGCAAAAAAATATATATATAGAAAATAAGTGATGCATAATGCAATTACTCACCACCCACCGACCAGTACCCAGCCAGTTCCCAAGCAGTGATTGCAACCTCCCAGCCAGCTCCCCCCAGTCTCTATACTAAGCATGACATCCTATGGTATGGAATAGCCCTTGGGCCAGTTTGGATCAACTATTCTGGCTGTGCCCCTCCCAGCTTCTTGTGCACCTGACAGAGCATGGGAAGCTGAAAAGTCCTTGACTAGCCTAAGCAGTACTTAGCAACAACTAAAACATCAGTGTGTGATCAACATTATTCTCATACTAAATTCAAAACACAGCACTATGCCCGCTACTAGGAAGAAAATTGACACTATCCCAGCTGAAACCAGAACAGTGTCCACCCCTTATTCTATTCCATGTACATCATGCCCAGGTCTCCACCCTTTCCAATAAATCCCAGTTAATCACCACCACTTTTCCTGTCTTTTGATATATACACACAGCTATCATTCCCATAGTCTGTGGGCCATCCCTCAAAAATGTCCATTGAGTTCATTTAGTCCATGACTTTGGGCTCCATCTGTCATAACAGTCTTTTGGTGCAGGAGAAATGGTGTGTGATATTGGATTGTTGTATGTTGAAGCCAGTTCTGGTTCCATCACCACTGCACTTCGCTCAGTCCATGACTTTGGGCTCCATCTGTCATAACAGTCTTTTGGTGCAGGAGAAATGGTGTGTGATATTGGATTGTTGTATGTTGAAGCCAGTTCTGGTTCCATCACCACTGCACTTCGCTCAGTTTTATTAAAGTTCATTCTTCGTTAATCTGGGTGATTCTTACTGTAATACCATTGATATGGCATATAGCAACCATAAAAGTGATGCCATACAGTATTATAGCAATTAACATCATACAATTCAGTTCATTGGCTATTTTCACCCAAAATCAAATCCCCTTGAACTATGCATTGGACTTCCCCATCCTTCTGCATTACCCACCAAGTGCAGCCAGGTCCTTGAGCAAAAGCAATCCCACGAATGGGTTTGCCTTTGCCTGAGACAGGAGTAACCCAGACTGTCTTCCCCAGTATATTTCTTACATGCATTACAGGGACTTTATCCCCTTGTACAGTATGTAAAAGTTTTGATTGGGTAGGGCCAGCTCAATTGGCGGATCCCCTAGCGTTGCCTAATGAGGTGGCTTTGGCTAAATGTGTATCCCAATGTTTGAATGTCCCACCACCCATTGCTCTCAGAGTAGCCTTTAACAGCCCATTGTATCGCTCAATTTTCCTGGGGGCTGGTGCATGATAAGGGATGTAATATACCCACTCAATGCCGTGCTCTTTGGCCCAGGTGTCTATGAGGTTGGTTTGGAAATGTGTCCCATTGTCTGACTCGATTCTTTCTGGGGTGCCATGTCGCCACAGGACTTGCTTTTCAAGGCCCAGGGTGGTGGTGTGGGCGGTGGCATGGGGCACGGGATATGTTTCCAGCCATCTGGTGGTTGCTTCCACCATTGTAAGCATGTGGCGCTTGCCTTGGCGGGTTTGTTGGAGTGTGATATAATCAATCGGCCAGGCCTCCCCATATTTATATTTCAGCCATCGCCCACCATACCAGAAATGCTTTAACTGCTTGGCCTGTTTGATCGCAGCACGTGTTTCCTATTCGTGGATAACCAGTGCAATAGTGTCCGTGGTTAAGTCCACCCGTCAATCATGAGCCCATCTACATGTTGCATCTCTTCCTTGATGGCCTGATGTGTCATGGGCCCACCGGGCTATAAATAATTCACCCTTATGTTGCCAGTCCAGATCCACCTGAGCCACTTCAATCTTAGCAGCCTGATCCACCTGCTGGTTGTTTTGATGTTCTTCAGTGGCCCGACTCTTGTGTACATGAGCATCTACATGATGTACTTTTACAACCAGGTTCTCTATCCAGGCAGCAATATCTTGCCACAATGCAACAGCCCAGATGGGTTTGCCCCAGTGCTGCCGGTTGCTCTGCTTCCATTGCTGCAACCACCCACAGAAGGCATTTGCCACCATCCATGAGTCAGTACAGAGATAGAGCACTGGCCACTTTTCTCAGTCAGCAGTGTCTAAAGCTAGCTGGATGGCTTTCATGTCTGCAGACTGACTCGACCCCCCCTCT